TGGGTGCATGTTGTGTCTTTTTAAATTTGTTGTGTTTTATCTGTTTTTAATCTTTCTTAATTTTTGTTTCTGTAAGCCGCCCGGAGTCCTTCGGGATTGGGCGGCCTATAAATTTAATAAACAGTAAACAGTAAACTTCTTAAAGTTGCCAAAGTTGAGAAACACTGGTTACATTACAAGGATTGGCTGGGAATGGGCTGGGGACAAAATAAACTGGGAATAACCCACTATAATTTCCCAGTAATGATGTCACTGGGCAAACAACATGAATTACTTCCTTACATCATTTGCACAATGATATCATGATACTCCCAGCCCACCTTTTCGTATCCCTTGATATCTTCAATTTTTAAGGAGATTCAGACTAGGGGTAGGTTGCTGCCGGTTTAACAACCCGCCTGCACACCTGACGCACACTGCACGTGCGTGCACTATTCAATGTAAAGTGATCTTCGTGCATGCGCAGAACAATTTATAGTTAACTGCGCATGCACAGTCACTAAAATCCAAAATGGCGGCAGCCCAGCGGCAGCGAGGGAACCGGTTCGGGCTGTGGCGGGCCTGGGTCGCTGCCGGTTCTGTGACCCAGGCCTGAATTCCACTACTGGTTTGCCCGAACTGGGCCGAACCAAGAGCAACCCACCTCTGGTTCAGATGCGAATTCATTTGAGCTGAGTCAATTTTATGTTCTCAAAAAACCAACCGAGGGTACAATAATTTGGTTGGGTTATCCAGCCCTGCTGGGACTCAGCGGCTCTATTCAAACCAGTGAGGCACGAGGCACGCAGCCCACCCATCGAGACCTCTCCGGAGAGCTGAGATCTAAACAGACCGGCAATTAGAACACACAAACCTTCCTTGCCTAGCAAATTGTTAGCTTCTGTGGTAGAACTGCCAGTTTTCTTTATTTATTTCAATCCCGCCCCTCCCTTGGCCTTTCAGACATCCAAGGAAGCTGCCCCAAGGAACCTTAACCCTATGCTTCCCAAATGCTAGATTCTGTCAGATTGGGGCCGCAAATATCTGGATAGCCGCTAAAGGCAAAAGTCACGGTTCCCCTTGCACATATGTGCTAGTCGTTCCTAACTCTAGGGGGTGGTGCTCATCTCCGTTTCTAGAAGATAGCCACTAGATGGTAGCAATACCGGTAGAAAATCCCAGCTCTTTGCTGCTACATTCTGAAAATCTGAGAACTCAATTAATAAAATAACAACAACAGAAGAACAGGGTTGGAAGGAACCTTGTAGGTCATCTAGTCCAACCCCCTGCTCAAGCAGGACACCCTACACCATTTCTGACAGAAGGCAACCCAGTCTCTTCTTGAAAGCCTCCAGTGATGAACGCAACTTCCAAAGGCAACTTCTGTTCCATTGGTTGATTGTTCTCACTGTCAGAAAGTTCCTCTTTGTTTCTAGGTTGAATCTCTCGGTCAGTTTCCATCCATTATTCCTTGTCTGGATTTTTGGTGTCTTGGAAAATAGCTTGATCCCCTCCTCTCTGTGGCAGCCCCTCAAGTATTGAAACGCTGCTATCATGTTTTCCCTGGTCCTTCTCTTCATTAGACTAGCCATACCCAGTTCCTGTAACTGTTCTTCATTTGTTTTAGCCAGTGGTGGGTTGCAGGCGGTATGCTCCGGTACGAGTGTACCGGAGCCTGCCCGGAGCACCGGGTACTGTTCCGGTACGGTGCTCTGGAGGGCCCGCCCACCTGCCCGAGCTCCTTACCTGTCCTTTAAGCCTTTGGAGCTTCTGCGCACGCGCATGGCGCATATGGCGCCTGCATGGTGCTCCACCGAGCAGCTGAGGCATCACGGAGGCTTGTGGAAGTGTTGCAGGCAAGTATGACGCATGCGTGCCACGCGTGTCCCTGTGAGTGACGCCGGGGCCGTTCCAACTGCACCAGTTGGAATGGAATCTGGAACCCACCACTGGTTTTAGCCTCTATTCCTCTAGTCATCCTGGTTGCTCTTATCTGCACTCTTTCTAGAGTCTCAACATCTTTTTTGCATTCCATTTTTTTAAAAAAAACTAAAAATAAAATTGTTTAATATTATTTCTCCTATCCTCCTTAACATTGACTCATTCCTTAACAGAGAAGCAGATCTACTTCCAAACCATACTGCTTTGTGATTCCTTAAGGCAGGGGTGTCAAACTCGATTTCATTGAGGGCCGCATCAGGGTTGTGTTTGATCTTGGGTGGGTGGGTGGGTTGTGTGTGGCCAGAGTGGGCATGGCTTGCTCAATGTCACTCATGTCGGGGGCGCCTGTGGCAGCCCGAGTGCTCGGCCAGTGAACATGGGCTCCGGAACTCCATTTTCACTGGCAGAGGGTTGCAGGAGGCCATCACAGCCGAAAATGGAGCTCGGGAGCCCATTTTCGCTGGCAGAGGCACCATGGGCCACTCCAATGTTTCCAGGTTTGGCCTTGCTGGCCAGATCTAAGCACCATGTGGGTTAGATCTGGCCAGCGGGTCTTGAGTTTGACACCCCTGTCTTGAGGGATCTAGAAGACTGAGATCTGGACCTATGTACATTATCACATGCACAAAGGTGTGTAACAGAGCAGATCCAATTGAAAAACATAGAAAAACAGTAAAGGACCTGCTTTGTTTTAAAGGAAAGTCTAGGACGATTAACCATCTCCCTTTTAATTATCAGTGATTCTATCATTTGTAACCTTAAAAAAATGCACAACTTGACAAAATCTAAGAGACACCAATTAGGGAAAAGCAGACCCCCAAAGTCATTATAGAAAAGAGAGTTGCAAATACTTTTTTGGGGGGTCCTCTCCTTCTCTTAGGGGAATGTACATTTCTGAGGTGGGAAGCTGCCAGGCAGTTTATCCTGAATATTAGATTTCCCCAAAGAAAATAATGGTTTATTTTGCCTTAATGGGAGCATTAAAACAACATATTGATGATCTGGACAGTAAGAACTTACCAGAAAGCATGCATCCATATACCCTAATGTCCCATTTATTATTTAGTTATCACTCGAAGGTCAAAAGATGATTTTTTTCAAAGAAGCCCAAACTTTCCCCAATAAGAACGAGGAATGGGCTAATCCCGAGGATCTCTTGCGTGAGGGCTGGCAATCTCTCACTCCTGGATCCCCATCTTGTCATTCCTGGACCACAGCCCCTCCCAAGAGTAGATCCGGACACTGGGTAGAGGAGAACCACTTTGCATGAAGGAAGATAGATATTTCTAGTCCTGCCCGCCAAGAAGATAGAATCACCATGTTGCTGCTCTTGAAGGAAGGAAAGTTTTACTCAGCTGTGGTGGGCAAAAATCAGAGGAGGTCTGGGAATATCTTTTCCGGCTAAGATATTTTATTAAAAGGCCTAAGCCTCCGGCTTTTTAATAAAATATGCTAGCCGGAAAAAGGGGCTCCCAGACTCCTCCAAGGTTTCTGCTTCCACTGCCAAATGTGAAAGGAGGGGAGAATTAAAAGTAAATGATTAGGTTAATGTGCTAATCCAAGACAGGCCTGCTTTATGTTTTCTGGGTCAAGGACAACCGCTTTGATTCTGACCAAAAGTTCTCTAGAAATGACTGGAAGCGGCAGGACCAAAATCCCCCCCCCCCNTCTCCTGGTGATTGGCCCAAAGTCACCCAGCCGGATTTCATGCCTAAGGCGGGACTAGAACGCAGAGTCTTAGAGATTGTGTGTCTGTTTGGTCAATAGAATTTAAATAGAAAAACTACAATGTTTACACCTCTTAAGGGAAATTACAAAGAGTCAAGAAGTGATTGACTTCCCATCTTGGAGTTTAAATAAATGGCTTCTTTCCTACCAATCTGTCCTCCCTCAACAGGAATGCCGTATGGAAGCCGGGAAAATTCTCTCCTTTACTCGGAGATTCCCAAAAAGGTACGGAAGGAAGCCCTCCTGCTGTTGTCATGGAAGCAGATGCTGGATCATTTCCAGGTGAGCACACCTGCGCAGGTGGCCCTCGGTTGTTTCAGCCAAATCAGGACTTGGGACACAGGTAGTCCTCACTTAGCGTCCACTTTTGGGACCCTCCATTGCTAAGCAACATAGTCATTAAACAAGGCATCACGTGACGGTCGCAAACTTAACAAGGTCACTTTTTCCCACGGTCATTAAGCGAAACATCTGCTTCTCCATTGACTGCTTAGCAGAAGCTGCTTAACAAGTGTGCAAAGGGAGATCACGTGACTGCGGGAAATGTACTTTTGTAGCTTTGGTTGCTAAATAGGACCCTCGTTAAGTGAGGAGTACCTGTATGGTCCTTTACTTAAAGGAAAACACATTTCCCCCCCTAAATTCACAGGAGGCCCTCTGTTTTTTCATCCCACCGATTCTTTCTGATCTTGCCCAGGTAACAAATTGGAACAGTTGCTTAATAGGACTGTTGTTAAGTGAGAACTACCTGTATTGTCCTTTACTTAAAGGGAAATGCATTTGTTGCTTGGGCTCCTCTGAATCCACACCAGACCCACATTTCTTTGTCCCAACTGTTCTTTCCCTCTCACTCAGACAATAACTTGGAATGGTCACTAATCAGGACCATCATTAAGTGAGGACTACCTATATTGTCTTTCATCTAAAGGGAAATGAATCCACACCAGACCCACATTTCTTCATCCCACCATTTATTTCCCTCTCATTCAGGCAACAATTTGGAAAAGACATTAAACAGGACCGTCGCAAAGCGAGGACTGCCTGTCATGTCCTTTGTTTAAAAGGGAAATGCTTTAATTTCTTGGGTCCCTCTGAATCCACACCAGGGCTCTGTTGCTGTTCTGACCTAGCCTTCCTCAGCAACACGAAGCTGAGTCCTCGTCCCGATAAACCCCTTTTATTTTATTGACAGTGAATTCCTCTCCAGAAAAGTCTTTCCTCTCCCAGAGTCTTTCAAGATAGTTCACAATTCCCAACCTTCATCAGGCTTGGAGAGAGGCCAGGCCGATATCTTTCATACTTGGCAAGAATGCAGGAATGAACTCATTGTCTCCTGCAAACTCCACTCCCCTTTCGCTCCTCTTTTATTTCCATTCATCGTCCACCTGTGGCCTTTCTCCCAAGTCGACCCTTGTTCTTTAGCTGTTCCCTTCCTCTGACCACTCTGTGCATGCACACACTGGGAACAGG